TTTTTTTTTGCAGTGTTCCCTTCCCTCCCCTCCCACCCCTGGTAAGCAACAAAGAAAATTTCCTTCCATAGATAAACCTTTCCTTGACTTACAATAATGAACTAATACTGTATTTGTCCTGTGATTGACTTATTTCACTCACTATAATGTCCTCAAAGTTCATCCATGTTATGTGGTGTTTTGCAGATTTTACATTATTCTTTAGTGTTGTATAGTATTCCATTGTGTGTATGTCCCATAGTTGGGTTATCCATTCTTCTGTTGATGGGCACCTAGGTTGTCTGCATCTTTTTGCTATTGTAAACAGTGCTGCGACGAACATGTGTGTGCGTATATCTGTTCTTCTCCTGGCTCTCACTTCTTTGGGATATATACCGAGTAAGGGGATTGCTGGGTCAAATGGTATTTCTAATTCCTGCTTTTTAAGGAACCACCAGACTGCTTTCCACAGTGGTTGTATCAATTTACAGTCCTACCAGCAGTGTACGAGAGTCCCAATCTCTCCACATCTTTGCCAGCATTTGTTATTTTATGTCTTATTGAACTTTGCCATTAGTGCCGAGGTGAGATGGTATCTAATTGTTGCTTTGATTTGCATTTCTCGGATGGCTAATGATCATGAGCATTTCTTCATGTATTTGCTGGCCACTTGAATATCCTCTTTAGTGAAGTGTCTATTCATGTCTCTGCCCATTTTTTAATTAGATTTTTAAATGTTTTTGTTCTTGAAGTGTTGTAGTTTTCTATAAATTTTAGAGATAAGTCCCTTATCAGATATGTCATTGTCAAATATTTTTTCCCAATCTATGGGTTCTCTTTTTACTCTTTTGGAGAAGTCTTATGAAGCACATAAAAATCTAATTTTTAGAAGGTCCCATTCATCTAGTTTATCTTCTCCTGTTTGTGCATTTTGGGTTATGCTCAATATTCTATTTAAGCAGTCTCTTGAGTGGTGCATTTAATCCACTGACATTCAGTGTAATTATCGATAAGTATGAATTTGTTGCTGTCATTTTGTTATGTGTTTTGTGGTGTTGCTGATTTCTTTGTTCCATATACTTTTCTGTGCTGAGCTTGTTTTGTTTATGAATCATGTCATCACTTCCTTTGCTGCTATTGTTTTAGTATTTGCTAAATATTTGTGCTGGTCCTCTTTTTTATTTTGATGTGAAGGTTTATCATTTTTCTTTGAGGTTACCATATGATTGATAATTTTCTTCCCACGTTGAGAACAGTCCGTTCTATCTCACAGTTGTCATGACTTCTCTACCATTTAGAAGTTCAGTAACTACACAATTTTTTACCACCTTTTGGTTTGTAGTTGTCCTCATTGTCAATTGATGTCTCTGGTTCCCTGTTTACAATCTTGTAAGCTTATTTACTTTGCATACTTCCATAACTGGGTTG